AGTACTTGGTTCTCACAGTATTATAGCAGTATTGTTCATAGCCCAATGTCTGGATTGTTGTTTTACTTTCCTCTTTTGCATAGTGCTGAGGATGTCTTCCTGGACAACAGCATCACTGATGTTTTGTTACCTGTTCAGCATTCACTTTCCTATATGTTACTAAGCTTTTGCCTTGTCTGTGTACCTTTTCTTCATTTCATTAAATGTTTATTCCATGGGTTACTAATAACTCAGCCAGGAGAAGAGAGGGCTCCAAGGTGACCTTATAGTGACCCTCCAGTACCTTAAGAGGGCTTGCAGGAAAGCTGGAGAGGGACTTTTTACAAGTGCAGGTAGTGTCAGGACAAGGGGAAACGGTTTTAAACTCCAAGAGGGTAGATAAAGGCTAGATACTAAGAAGAAATTCCTTGCTATGAGGGTGGAGACACACTGGAACAGGTTGCCCAGAAAGGCTGTGGAATGCTCACTTCCTGGAGGCATTCAAGGCCAGGCTGGATGGGGCTTTGAGCAACCTAGTCTAGAGAGAGGTATCTCTGCCTCTCTCTAGCAGGGGGTTGGAACACGATGGTCTTAAATGTCCCTTTCAGTCCAAACCATTCTATGATTCTATAACTCACGTGAGCCACATCTGATCTTCTGAATTACTGATGGTGACTTAGATAAAGTTTATTTCTCTGTTTTTCTTTACAAGCTTTAGCATAACTATTTCTGATGCCACAGTATTGCACATAGCCTTTCATTTTCACAATTTTTTTCCAAAGCACTCTCCACTTTTCATTTACAACTCCTGTCTATTTCAGAATCTGTCATTGAATGCATTTTCATGTATATTTCCTTCCATAGTGAGGCTTTCTCAGTGCTGCCTTTTTAGAATCTGCTTCACGAAAAGCTGTTCAGATATGAGTGTGCTCATCAGTGCTGTGCATAGCTCAACAGTTGGCAGACCAAATTTATGCTGATATTGATAGGTAACTCAGTTCAGTTCAGTTCAGTTTGTAGACTCTATGCAAGGACTAGGCTATAAATTTGACTCCTTCCTACAGTGCTGACTAAGTTTAGAAGCTCTGCTGAACTTCTGCATAAGGAGTTAAGCTTATCATCCCTTGTCTCCTTGTCTGCGGTATTCTTCTGATTGATGGAAGTTACCTGGTATCCATCCTGAGCAGACAAACAGCAATTCAACAACTCTGTTTTTAGTTCATGACTCTTTTGCTCCGTTTCCTTCTCTACTGCTCATACATAGTAGGAGACCAACTTATAAGCTACACAAAGTCTTACACAGACTAACTGCTGGAAGTGCCTGATTTGTAAATAAAAGCATAACATAGATAGTTTTGTTGTGGGTGCTAAAGTGAGGTCTTGTTGGTCTTCTGGTCTGCGAGTGTGCGCTGCCTGCTCATGTCCAGTTTTTCATCTACCACTTTTTCCCACACATTTCAGCTGCATTCTCCTGCCCTCACTCCTATGCCTGTTATCTGCAGGCAGCATACAACCTCCTCACCAGCTCTAAGCTGTTTGTGTTCATCCCTTGTCCTACCAAACAGCCTTCCAACTTCCTTTCCAACTCAACCCTTACTACTAATAGCACTGCTATTAGTACTCCAGAACTCACTGCCTATTGCAGCATAAGTCCCTTCATACATAAATATCTCATACTTTCTGACCTTTCATAGAAAAAAAATCTGTGGATGTAAGGCTGCCGTTCACTCCTAGAAGAAGTCTCTTGTCCCCTCCAGCACTGTTTCCGGTTGCAGAAACCTGTCCTGTCCTTCAGAAAGGGGAATGTGGAGAGGAGCATTACAGAATCACAGAATTGTAGGGGTTGGAAGGGACCTCCAGAGATCATCGTGTCCAACCTCCCTGCCAAAGCAGGTTCCCTACAGCAGGTCACACAGGTTGGCATCCAGGCAGGTCTTGAACATCTCCAGAGAAGGAGACTCCACCACCTCCCTGGGCAGCCTGTTCCAGTGCTCCGTCACCTCACTGTAAAGAAGTTCTTGTGCATGTTTGTGCGGAACTTCCTATGCTGCAGTTTCCAGCCGTTTCCCCTTGTCCTGTCTCCACTCACCACTGAAAAGAGTCCGGCCTCGCCATTCTGCCCCCCACACCTTAGATATTTATAGACCTGGATCAGGTCCCCTCTCAGTCTCCTTTTCTCAAGGCTGAACAGACTCAGTTCACTCAGCCTTTCTTCATAGGAGAGATGCTCCAGGCCCTTCACCATCTTCGTGGCCCTATTATATGTGGATAAGAGAACAGGAAATAGTGGGAAAGGAATTGGAGAAGCAGAAATACTTTTGTGTTCCATAAAGGTACGTATTCCAACTCTGATTATAACAGTTCCTAGCTGGAGCTTACTGTAGCTAGAGGAACTACTCAAAACCTGTTAACTCTATTTTTTTTCATATCAGCGATAAGTAAATATTTAAAGTAGCTTATTAATAGCATCACACATAGAAGTCCTTGAAATTTCCCATCAAACTGAAAAAAAGATGTCTGTATTTTTGTTATGTGTTTCTTAGGGCATCCCTTACCAATGTCATCCTATGATGATGTAGCTCATTGCACATGCTGAGCTAATTAATTGTTCATCAATATATTCAAATTGTTGTATTTAAATCAATATGTCCAGCTTAAGATCAAGAGAAATGCTTTAGACAACCTGCACAACTCTCCCAGTCCAACTTTGATGGGATAGGTAAAGCAGTTGAACTGCACTTGATACCACTTGCAACTCATCTAAGATTCTTAGCATGCAAAAGCTGGATACTCCTGCCTACGTCTGAGCATGAAGCATGTAATTCACAGTAAGAATCTTGGTGTTGAAATATATGTTATCAGAAAATATATAAAAATATATTAGCTCTTGTATTCAGTTTGACTATAAGCATATCAACTTTGAGGGAATCTTTTGGGACTCTTGTACATAAGAAAACGTATTGTTAGGTTAACACCAGACACACCTTAATTGAGAAGACTCTGGTGGTCTCAATCACAGTGCATGCAGTATAAATACATGGGATAATCCAGTGGGTTTTTCCATTTTGTGCTATTTTGCTCTGAATAGAAGCAACATCCTGCATGCAGCAGGACAAGTACAGCAGGGCTTTGGGAAAGAGTTTCCAGTTTGACCACTCATGAAACAATTGAACAAGTTCATTCTGTACATCAGAGGCATTAGCTTCCCCCAAGAAGACACTGGGAATTATTTGCTAGAATATATATGGATCAGAACCATGTAAACTTCTGAATGGAGTAGAATATTTGGCGTATTATATTTCAAAACCAAAGAGCGTCAGGAAGCTTTCATCGTTGTTCTTTTGGGCGTATCTGCTAATCAGTCACTAATTTAACTAATATTTGCTTGCAAAGACAAAAGAATGTAAGAACACTTATACCTGTAATTCAGTCAGTTTTGAACTAAAATTTCTCTTAAAAATCATTTTCCTTAGACCTTTTTTCATTTAACTGTCTCTGAGTGCTTATGTGGAAAAGCTGTTCCTGCGGGCTGAGGCAGGAGTATGTTGTAAATTGATTTAACAAAGAATACTTTGGGAAAAGAACTGTGTTTAGGTATCTCTTCTGTGGTTTAGAGATCCAGATAATTAAAGTGATGACAAAGATCTGTACAAATGACTACCTTTCTTAAATTAGTTTGCTAAATTGTAAGAATTAGCATTTGTATTCACTGTGATTGACTTTATGTATCCTCTATTCTTCACAGTTTGGTAAGAATTGGAACTATAATGAACATTACTCATGCCTCACATGAAGAAACTTCCATGGGAGCTCACACAAATTTTATTAATTCTTTAATTACGTATACTTTGCTAATGATCATATCCTTTTACAGACGGGCATGCTAAACAGGCAAAATGCTTCCCATCCTAAGTCCTGAGGCAACTCTTTGAACCTGAATGACTGCATATCTACTGATATGAACTCCTGAACTATTAGTTATACATTAGCTAGAGCGTAACTGACCAGTTTTGATCTGTTCCTGTATCCTTCATATGAAAGATTTACTGTCAAATGTGATTAAAACAACATTTTTCCAGGCCAACATAATTTTTTCCAATTGCTACAACTTTGTCAGCCTTTTAATCATTTAGTTGACATTTTACAGATTTATGATCTACTTGTATCAGATATTTTTCAAAGATGAAAATACTGCAGTCAAAATGATCCACTTGTTCACAATGAGTCGAGAGAACAAATTGCTTGACATACTGTTTAACACGCCAAGGTGTTGCTGCATATGGGAATTTGGGAAGATCTTGCTTCTGTGTAAAAAGGGATATCTTGAAAACTACATTTGCAAAGCAAAGAACTACCTCAGTAGAATTTATCAGTATTCAAGTCGTTAGTGTAACTTCTGTTGCCATTCCAGGGTACAATTTTTTTCAGCTCAAGGATCTTAATATTTCTATTGTGTGATAAAGCATTTACTGAATGCCAACTCAAACTCTTAACCTTTCTATAATTATGTAGAAAAGTAAACTGGATACTAGGAAACCTTCCTGATAAATACCTAAGACCATCTTTATTTGGTTTGCTGATATGTTGGGCCTTTTCTGTTTTCTTCCCAGAACTAATGTAAGGACCACAGCTAAGTGGTTGCTAGTTTTAGTCATCGTGAGAACTACTTTCACCCTCTTCATTTATCATAAGAATAAACACAGTAGTTGAGATGGGAGGAAATGTTCATCCAACCCAATACAAAATCTGTGGCAGTGGCCAACAATGGATGTCAAGGAAAGAAGTGAGCAAGCACAAAGCGATTGATTCTGGTGAATGCCCCCTATATTTCAAAACCATATGAGTGAGGGGGTGTTAACGTGATGACTTTGGGTTGACCATCTGTATGGTTTTTTCCTTTTGTTGTTTGTTTGCTTGCTTTGTTACTACTTTTAACTTAAAAGGGGATGTAGATTATATTTACAGTCAATATAGAAACTAAGAAGATTCAATCTCTGAGTTAGAAGACCTTGAAGACTGACCCATTTCACTTTCTTCGGGACGTTTTGTAGTAGATAACTGCAGATGAGCTTCATCTTCGCAGTTCCTTATCCTTTGCCTTTTGCTGCTGCTGCCATCAGCACTGGGCTACAAGATGATTACTTCTTATAGAAGACAATGGCAGATGAAAATTGGAAGCACTGATAGGAAGAGAGGGGAGAGGAAGTAGGACCAGGGGAAACATAAAGGGAGAATGCCTAGGAAGAACAAGTGAGCAGACAATGCAGAAAATTGCTAGAGATAAATGTACGTGTAAGTGAGAAAGATGAGAATGACTATGGGGAAGTGGGGAAAAAATGAATGGGATAATAATAAAAGCTGTTTGTACTCTGAATAAATTAAACACAACTAAAGATACTTACTGGCCTTTGTAATGGAAAGAGTTAAACATCTTGGTATTCTGTGCTGTTCTGGGCAAGCCATGGAAAGGACGTCATGCTATTGAATTTTATTTGTCTTGGAGGTGGTGTGCGGACATCCTTGTATCTCACCATCTCCTTTAAATGACATTGCTTTCTGGAGTTTAAGAAAAGTTTGCATCTCTAGCCAGCTCTAATCTCCCAGCCGTTTGATAACCACTGTATGAACACTGGGACCAGTGTCCTAAAACTAGCAGAGCAATGGTTGCTCTGCTACAGAAATAAGTAGCAAAATCTCAGTTTCAGGTATTTGGCTGTTTTCTTTAAGCTTCATAAATAGCATATGTAACCTTAGATGCCTATTACTGTTTTTCCTCTTCCGTGTCTTTATATTACATTTTATCTCCAAGAATTCTCAAGTTTTGTGTTTGCACAGCACAGCAGAGCATAATTGTACGCCATTCTACTACAAGTACCACCATGGCTTAGTAAATACCTAGATAAATAATAATAGGACAAAGAAGAGAGATGTAAGCAAAATAAAACTCTAATGCAGTTTGGTAAACCATGTATGGCAGCGTTTCAAAGAACTGACACAGAGCATAGTGCCTACGACAGGAAAATCCTGATCTGTGTGAGTAGAATTCTTAGCTGTTAGGGTAACACTAATGCCAAAGCAAGCGTTTAGTTTATTCTGAAATGTATATGTTCTCACACTATGTTTTTGAATAAGTATGTGGAAGGGAATTGGGTATTAAGTGTAATCAGACATTACAGACACAAGTAATCCCAGTTGTTTCAACAGAGCTGTTGGTGAGTTTAGAGTTTAACAAACTCTCAAGAAGTTTGCCGAGCTGGCAACTAAGAATCAATAATCCATGCCCTCCAAAAGTGGATGTTCTTAATGAAACAGAATTGGAAAATAGAAAAAGGCATCACCCAGTGGAGAGTGGGGAAAAAGGGAAAAAACAAAGGGAGGCAGAAAAGAGTAGACTCATCCTTTGCTACTGATTCGCTTTTACTCAAAGTATTACAAGATTTTTACAGAAATGTTTCAACCAAAACTCCTAGTTTTTGTACTGTATTCCCATAGCCTTCAAATGGCTACCAAACTGAATGCCTTGATTGCTTATATTGTGATCGTTTCATTACAGAGTACATTTTTGATGAAGATTTACTTTAGCTACTAGTGATTGTTTTACAAGGCTCTGATCTGTCAGCATGTGCATTGTGCTCAGGCTGAGTCAAGACCACACCTCAAGGACGTTTTTAGGCACAAGGCTGAAGGTAACACAAGTCATCCACAATGGCAGCCTGTCTAACTGTTTGCTCGGTATGGATTCAGTTTGTGTGACGCCTGATAATTATCTAAGCTTTTGTCAAAATGAATAGATCTATTAACAGGGCTAAAACGACAATGATTCTCAACCTTTGCAGAACTCAAGGACAAAGCAGCTTTTCCAGTAAGAAAAAGCACTAGTCTGCTAACAGCAGCCAATGATGTCACAAGCATAGGTAGATATGGAGGATTCTGAAGAAACAGAACGTCAAACAAGTTTCAGTGAAATAAGCAACTACCACTGCCCCAGTTCCCCCAGGGTTAGTATCACAGGGAGCAATCCTTTCTGCTAAAAACAGTCCCCCAAGAGACAGGAGCATTGCCAGAAAGCATTTACAGATAAAATGCTGACTGCTCATTTTCAATTTGTCTACATGGTTGTTGCATATGTGCGTTATATGCAATACAGTGATGTGTAAACATATGCTCGACTGGGAATTTAAAAATACCACTGCACCAGTACAGCTAGTGAGAATGACTCCAACAAGTTCCCTTTAATATTTATTAGCATACCTATTTTACAGTAATGATACAAATAGCTTAGAGTGTCTCTAGTGGCATAGAAGAAGCAAAACTTCATTTATTTATAACACTGTAAAATATCGCAAGACTTTTCTTCAAATGTCAATGATACAAGTGTTTGTGCACTGAAAAGTTTGCCTAGATTTTTCTAATTTGGACCATCTATACTTACAACTTACTATTTTCACTTATAAATGTAATGTTATTCTACCTACGACCTTAAAAGACCATAAAGATTTCAGAGAAGTAAGAGTAGCTCCAGAATGATTACTGAAAGTAGGAGGAAAGAAACTGGTTGATTCAGAAACAACAAATGCATTCTTTCCTTGTAGATCCTTTTCCCTTTGGCATTCTTGTGCACTAAGCACAGAAAGTATTCTTAATGTGAGAATTGACATATGTACAGCTCAAAGCAGACTGCCTAACACAGCTGAAATGTCTGAGTCATATCCCAGATTACCACCAAATTTTTAGGAGAAAGGAGCAAAATAATCTGTAGCATCACATAAAAGACTCCTTTTGTTATTGTATTGTATAGAATTTTAACTTTGTCAAGATACACCTACTATGTAACTGCTGATAGATATATAAGGCATAGCTATGAAACTTTGTGGATGTAAAAGCAGCTAGCAATCTTTATAGGAGACCAAAAACATGGTTTCAGCTTCTTCAGAAAAGTGAAAGTGTATGGTTTTATTTTAAAATATATTTTTAAAGATAATATGCCTAAAATATCTATTTAGAAACCTTAAGAGAACATAGGCATGTCATTAAGAAGAATGAAACAGTCAGTTGCCATATCATATAACACAGGGAATACAATATAACCAACTGTTGAAATATGCATTAAAATGCATGATACAATGGATATTAAGAATAAAATGAAGAACAAATAACAGGAAAATCATAGCCTCAAGAAATGTAAGAAAGGACAGAATTGTTGTTTTACTAAGATGTCAATGTTCTGCTGACTCCTTGCAAGGAACCCACTGGTTGCCACCAATTTTGCAGTCAGAATGCCTGAATACGAGACACGAGATTCTCAGCAGTGTTAGAACACAGCTCAGCATGCCTTAGAGAGGGGAACATAGAGAGAATGAGGCTCTGAGCCTTCCCTGTACTGCCCTGAAATGGAGCAGAAATGGGCACCAGTCAGAGGCAAGGGGCACCTGTGAAGGCACACAGGTGTCTGTACAAGGTAACACTAATGCAGCTTTGCCACCAGTGCTTCTTTACCCATTGCATTTAACTTCCCCTGTACATCTGAGGTAGCAAGTAAACCTGTTATGCAAGTGAGTTTCTGCTACATCACGTTGTTGTGAGAAGGCTGTACTCTTTTTTTGTGGTGCCCGCTTGAATGAGGGGATGGGTTTCACCCCAAATTCCTGTCAAAAAAAAAAAAAAAAAGAGGGGCTGGGGAGGAGGAACTAAGGAAAGAAAGGGACAATTAAAAAAGACCAAGGCTCAGCAGAAACAAGGCAGACACAACACACAAATCTCTCAGAAGAGGTTTCCTAACAAGGTAGGAGTACCTCTGCTAGCACATACCTCGCTGCCTTTCTCCTCAGGAGAGGAGCGATTGCTGATTCGCCGCCCCAGGAGCTGCAGGCACGCTGCATGCATGGCACGAGGCGCGGCCACAGCGCTGCCTGATGCCACCCCTCCGTCCCAGAGCCACGCGCCGAGGCACAGCGTGCCTGCCGGCTTACACCAAGGCGAGGGGGTGCTGCACAGTCGCTGGTAGGCATGAGACCCTGCCCGAGGCCTACGCCAGGCTTGACGCCCGTGAGGGAGCGGCAGAGCCACTGGCAGACCCACTCTCAGATACAGCGGCGTGAAACCCCTTCCCGCCGCTCGGCGGCGCTGTGGCCATAAGATGGCGGACCGTGCGGCTGCGGGCGGGAAGGGTTACGTGCTGTGTTTCTTAGTACTTGTTTGAGAACCCTCGTGGAGTGCAGCGGGTTTCAGGATAGACCCTGGGAACGAGACAACCTCCGTTTGCCGGCAGCCGTGATTGTGTTTAGCATGCACGAAGATCTCTGGAGGTAGTGGATGTCTCCTCCCTCCCAAATTTCTCTTCCGTTATGGGCAAATGTGACACATTCCAATACATTTGTTTAATCCCTTCTTGTTTCCCCTTAACCCTGCAAAAGTGGGTATTCCAGGAGTTGTGCAGGGCTCAGTTCTTTGTTATTTAATGGCAGTAGGGACTAAGTTACATCTGAGAAAAAGCCTCTCTGTAGTTTCCTGAAAGTCTCAGAGGTTAGTCATAGCACGGATGTTATTTTGCTGTGATCTAAGTGGTCATCCTGCTGCTATATCCGCGGCAGAGCAATGCTGGCTCGGTTCTGAGGTACGTAAGGTCAGGCAGGACTGTACTCTGAGCACCTGGTCTGGTGTAGGGGTCCCTGTTCATTGCAGGGGAGTTGGACCAGATGGCCTCATAGGGTCTCTTCTAGCTCAAACCATCCTATGGTTTTCCATGTCTTAGAATGCAGGCTACGTTTGTTGGCTTTCTGGCTTATGATGGCTGTTTTGTGTGAATTTCTGTTTCAGGTGTGCAAAAATGGCTTCACTGAGTCTGAAGCAAGACAGTTTTTAAGTTCTGTGAATTTTGGCGGGAGTTCAGCAGACTTCAGCTATTCTGCACTGTATGCTGAGCTGAAAAGAGGACAGATTAGAGAAGCTCGCATAGTCTTTTGTTCATCTGATGTCTTCCTTGTTGCCAGGTAAGTTTTTGATTGATTATTTAAATCAATTCTGTGGTGCGATTTTATCACAGGAAAACTTACGGTAATTTCATTATAAACAAAGATATTGGCTGACACATTGCACAACAAAGTCTGTACGTTTAATATGATTAGGCAGTCTGTCAGATCAAGTACTCCCATGAGGTGCACATTTTGTTATGTTCCCTCTGCTACCTGACTTTTTTTGGTGGGTCTCCAAAGGAGCAACGGAGTAGAAGTTTTCTTACTTTCCCAGGATGTGACTCAACAGTGGCTGTGATGATTTTAGTATAGCAGTATTGTGGAAGGGCTTCCTTGAGGGAGCTGGGCTTGTTCAGCCTGGAGAAAAGAAGGCTGCAGGGTGACCCCATTGCAGCCTTTCAGTACCTAAAGGGAGCCTATAAACAAGAGGGGAGTCAACTCTTTGAAAGGGTAGATAACAACAGGAAAAGGGCAAATGGTTTTAAGTTGAAAGAGGGAAGATTTAGGTTGGATGTCAGGGGGAAGTTCTTTACAGAGAGAGTGGTGAGGTGCTGGACCAGGCTGCCCAGAGAGGTTGTGGATGCCCCATCCTTGGAGGTGTTCAGAGCCAGATTGGATGGGGCTCTGGGCAGCCTGTTGTAGTATTAAATTGATAGCTGCTGCCTGTGGCAGGTGGGTTGGAGATTCACGATCCTTGAGGTCCCTTCCAACCCAGGCCATTCTGTGATTCGGTGTGTGATTCTGTGAAAGGCACATGTGAATCTGTGCCATCTGATGGCTTACTGAAGAACATATGCTTTTTGGTGGCCCTCCTTTTCCCTCAAGTCTGCTGTTCCTTTCATAAAGATGGTGGCATAGATGAATTCTTCAGAGAAGAATGTAAGAGCAGATCTAATAAATGAATGGTAAGCTGACATGGTAAAGGGCTATTCTTTGTTTATTAGAAAAAAACTGGATTCTGTGAAGTCCTTCTGAATGTTTATGTTCTACTGTGAGTCTTGCTCAGAGATACTTTTTGTCCAGGATTTCTATATTGTGAAATCAAAACAAAATTGCAGACTTCTCTCATATTTCTTATTAACAATTGTTTGGAATTAACAGGCAGGTAATAAAGAGACCTAAGTCTTTTCATAACTACTATATTGCTCACAAGCTGGCTGTCATGTGCTTTAACACTCAAATAAATTATTTCAGGTGGGACTCCAAGGTGGTAAATCTGAGCAGATATATTATTCATCATTACAAAATATAACTGAAAAGTCATTCTTAGTGATTAGTAATTTATACTGCTGAATTTTTAAATGGTGCATAGAAAAGGGAGAAGAAAATAATCTGGTCGTGCAATAGTTAAGCTACAAAAGTCCTGAATGGGGCAAAAGTATGAATGTCCAAGGAAGAACCTTGGACAGACAATACTGAGCTTAGACCCAAAGCCTTTGAATGTTTTTTGTGAAAAAGTTTTGTGCAAAGTTAATGGTTTCTTTGTGATTTGTTTGTATTCCGAAGATGACCAGGTAAGAAAAAAAAAAAAAAAAAAGTGATAAATAAGTCTTGGTATGTTGTTTAGAATGAATGCCCATCGATTCATGAAATAATGAAGAGCAAAGTTTATCATAATGACTGGAAACCAAGGCAATAGTTGTTACCTTGCTTACTTCAAAGTGCATTCAAAGAAACCCTGTGGAATGAGCACTTCTTCCCTTAGTCTTTGTAAATTGTGAGCCTAGAGCCCTCTAGTGTTAGTGTTTGTATAATGCATATTATTGTTCACAGTAATGTAGATCACTGTGAACTGCACATTATTCTGATCTGTGTCAGTAAAGGGCTACTAAGCCAATCGCCTAATTTTTTATTGACTTTAATATTTATTTATGAGAAAGCAACTGATCTCATTCATCCCAGTTTTTAGAAAGGAGTTATTTATTTACTTTGGAGCTATTACCCAATCTGTGTCAGTAGTATCCCTGAACAAAGATAGCTCTTATGCAAAGGAAAATTTAGGGAGCCTATAATACTAGTAGCACCTAATTTTTCATCTACTCTATGTATTGTTTAATGCTGATCTGGGAGTTCCTGTAAGTCCTTCTAGTTGCTCTTTCATGCACAAAGCATGTTGTGACCTCTGTTCTCCTCCTTAGTTGATAGTCCCCATTTTATCTTTCTCACCACTGGAACTGTATATGTGGGACTGTTCCTTCTTTCTTCAGGGCAGGGATTCTAGTGTGTCCTCAGCCACACGAGAACAGATTCTGCATGCCTCCATAATTTACCTTTGCTTAGGGTTCCTCTTCTTGTATCCTTGCCTCCTTGCTTCTTCATGCCAGGACCTGGGTCTGTCCCTTCCTTTGCTTCTTTTTCTATTTTTAAAATTTTTATACTAGATGGAATTTGCTTTTCCCTTCTGCAGAATGAGCAGGAGAAAAATAATTTCCCAGTTTACCTGGGAGAAAAGTTCAGAGAATTTGTCACTCACCAAATTGGTCACAAATTCTTGAGTAGTGCTGCATAGGGAAGCTTAATGGATTTAGAGGAAAGGAGGAGTATGTGCAGTAAACCACCTGAGCCTCACTGTGAAGCAGAAAAGTCCAAGAACTGGGAAGAGGAAGTTTTCAGAAAAGCCAAAAAGCAGAAAGTGAAGTGACAATTTGTCAGTAGAAAGCTGGAAGGACTTAGGGCAGATTTTTGCCAGCAGGAGGTAAGAAGGTACCAGTGATCCTCTGGGACAAATAAATGCTCACTTCTGACTGGGAGGTATATAAGTTGATCCTGTTCTTTAAAAGATGAGAAAAGCAGCCTTATCAGGCATCTGCATCTGCAGGAAGCCTATATTATTACCCAAATGTTACAAGTCAGAAACAACTGTTACTGAGTTGTCCAAACTGCAAAGCTCATTATTATTATTATTATTTATTTATTTACTATTGCCCCTACTGGCCCAGGAAGTCATTTAGTCATTTGTGAACTGTGCAAAAAATTGTCAATATACAAACTACACTCAAATCTGTGGTAGCTAGTTCAAAGTAAAGCTGCATGGTAACTTAGAATTTGTTGATTTGCAACAGTGCAATTTCAGGTTTGTTTGAGATTTATGTATGTTTCTGTAGGCATTAAGATATGAAACTAACTGGCTTAGGGGTTTTTGAATAGTTTGTCAGTCAGGTAAAGAACGTGTAGATTTATAAAGTATATACGGACCCAAAATGTTGTTGCTTACTGAAATCTCACTTACTGATGGCATCAAAAGGGATATACTTGGAACACTTTCAGAATCCTGTACCTTGGGATGAAAAACCCCAGGCACCAGGAGCTAGCCACCCAACTGGAAAGCAGCTCTGAAGTAAAGGATGTAGGTGCCAAGTTGAACGTGAGTCAGCAGTGTGCCTTTATTGAAGGCAGCTGATATTCTTAGCTGCATTAGGCAATGTATTGCCAGCAGGTCAAGAGAGGTTATCCCTCAATTCTGCCTTGGTGAGGCCACACTGAATGTTGTGTCCAGTTCTGAGCCCTCTGCTATAGGAGAGACCTGGACATTCTTGAAATAGTGCAACACAGGGCCACCAAGATGCTGAAGGGCCTGGAGCAGCTCTCCTATGAGGAGAAGATGAGAGAGTTGTGACTATTCAGCCTGGAGAAGATGAGGCTCAAAGGAATCTCACCAATGTCCATAAATACCTGAATGGAAGTTGCAAAGAAAATGTAGCTAGGCTATTTTCAGTGATGCCCAGTACCAGAACAGGAGGAAATGGGCACAAACTGGAACACAAGAGATTCCCTCTAGTGGGAGATATTTCTGTGCTGTGCAAGTGCCTAAGCACACATTGCCCCGAGAGGTTGTGACTTCTCCTTCTTTGGAGATCTTCAAAAGCCACGTGGACGTAGTTCTGGATGTCCCTGCTCAAGCAGGGGGTTGGACTAGATGGACCCAGAAGTCCTTTCCCACTTCAACCATTCTGTGATTCTGTAGAGCTATTCAAACACAACTGTGGTAGAGCGGGAAGCAAATATTTTATAGGGCCAGCAGGGAGTGTTTCAGAGAAAAGACTGAGGAGACGTGCTGTAAAATGCTTACAATTTATTAATCATCATTACTTTTTTTCATAAAGAACAAAAATAAAACAATATTCCAAAACAAAATGGAAGAAGAAAATACACCACACCCAGATAATATGACTAAGACTAAAAAATGGGGTAATGTTAATTCTGAAAGAAATGGCCCAATAAATCAGTTCTCCAAAAAAAACAAAATAAATAGCAATAGTACAACTTTTTAAAAGCTTTCTAGGAAAGAATTTACATATAATATTATTACTTTTGTTTACAAAAGTCCTTCATATGCCCCATTGGCAATATATATATATATATATATACTTCTTCTGTAAACAGTTAACCACAAAGGAAAAAAAAATTCCAAATTTTCATACAGTTTCTATGCTGATGATGTTATGTAAACAAAGAGTAGTATGCAGCAGCTTATCATTCTAGTATCTTTCTCTCTCTCTTTCTTCTTTCTTCTTTTGTTTTCTTTCTTTTCTTTCTCATGAGAATAGATAGGGAAATGCCCTAAAAATTGTTTATAACATTGAATTTTATAGCTTTGAGAAGATATGGCTTTTTGCAATCTAAGTTTTCCATAATGCAAAACAGAAAGTAAAACAGAGGTACAGTTTTCGTTTTTCTTGGACTTTAGCTTTTGATCTGTCTCAGTGAACTGAAATTGAAATGTTCCGTAATAGTTCAGTGTATCAAAGGAAATCTCAGATAATGTCAAGTAGTTGTCGAATGTAATGACCAGCAAAACTTGATTTCCTGCAGAGTAATATTTATTCTGCACCAGTGCAATTTATATTGTGCCATGAAAGGAAAGCCTTGAAAACAATGTCATTCTAATAAAAGACTTTGTGTGGTCTAAATCTTATGGTTTAGCACTTCTCATAAGACAAACAAACAAGAAATATGAAAATTTTGTATATGTTTTGTATACAGTATATGATCTTATACTGTACCTCTCAAGGTGTAAAGAAAAGTCATGAAAAACAGTATGAGACACAATGGTAAGGAAAGCTGACATAGTGTAGACAGACATATTGAGCTTGTATGCAGAAAATATAATCTGTTCGTAAAAAACTGTAGCTGCTTTTGACACTTTCTTTCAAATGTTTGTTTTCATCTATGTTCAACTCATTTGGCTTCTCTTTAGTTTTAATTTTAGACGTTCCCTTTTTCTTGCGTTCCCTTTTTCTTCTTTATCTCATATTTCACCTGTTTGCTGTTGTTGGTTGGCAATGTCTTGTGGAACACACTCAGCACCAACACAGCTGCATTGGTCCACATAGGTGTATGAGTGATCAAGATAGGTTCCATCACTGCATGTCAAAGTCACCTTTCTTACACTAGTCTGGATTTCCTGGCAACATGAGCATTTATGTTCCATCATGTTTGCTTCTTGAGAGTACCTGTTTGCAAAACCAACAGAAGAGAGATATTCAGAAATTATGTGAGAAATATTGCTGCCCTCTCACACATTTCTAAATATAAGTAGAAGTTGTGCATGGGGATATGTCTTAATATTACCATTCTTCCAGTAGTTTGGTGACACAGAATTTGTTCTTTGTTGTAAAAATGGGTAAACCTAGCTTTTGATTCTGATCTAGTGGAAGACATCCCTTCTCATGGGAGGGGGTTTGGAACTGGATTATTTTAAAGGTTTCTTTCAACTCAAACCATTCTATAATTCTGTAATTCATTAAGACAAAAGAAAAGCAAAAAAAAACTAATCCAGATAACAAATCAAGCCAGTCCGAAATGAGAGACTGGTATGAAACAAATAACCTCACTTTTACAGAGGCAAGATCAAAACTCGGGACCAGTCACTTAATCGTCTATTAAGATCTGGTTAGTTTTGAGATAATTAAGCTAATGTAGCACCATGTCTGTTAAAAATTCTGGTTAGCGTAATGGGAACAGTTGATGGCTTGGTGAATGTTAGACATTGTAGAAAATCACTAGCAATGTGTTTTCTGCTGTTATAATAACATATAGAAGACAGGAGATTACAGTCATCTTTTACACCACTTACCTTGAGTAAGCATCACAGCTGCCTTCACAATATGTCATCTCAACAGGTACAGAAACACATCCTTGGTATTTGATGACAGTAGTGGTGTTATGCTTCTTGCAACCTGATGTTGCCACAAACCAAGAGAAAATAGTTAAAATATGTGCATATATAGATAGATAGGTTAAAATATATGCATATATAGACAGATACTTGTATATGATAGACAATCCTTAGCTGAAAACTAAGATGCATGGAGCTGAAATAGGAAGTTATGTCACAGTGCGTTTCTGTTTTAATTGCTTATGGCTAAATGATAGGTTGTGCTACTTGTCTTAACATTGAGTGGAAAATTCCCTTTATGCTGCATTGGTGCAGGATGCAGAAATATAGAGCAGTGCCATGGCAACTGTTCAGTGCACACCCATCTCCCAGGACCAGCTTCACTATCATCCTTAAATAGAATGTGTTTGTAGAAGTTGGAGAATAGGTGTAGTCCTCTATTTCACTAAAAGGCTAATATTGAACAGTACAGGATGGGAAAGTTCACCATATCTGTATTTTCAAAGACCCTAAATGTTCTGTTTCCATACCACCTGGTGGTTCTAAATGTTTGTTTCTTACCAGGTGGTATGGAAACACTGGTACCAGATTTGGGCTTTTCACCTCTTCTGTCCTTGCTCCTGCCATGCAAGTTGGACTAATACAGCTAACAAGGCACATACTGTGCTTTTACCCCAAATTACCATCACTTACCTGATGGTGGGATTGAGCACACTCTACAGCAGCCATCATCTGATAGCCTGATGCTGTCCTGGAGTGGGAAAAAAAAAAACAAAAAAACTCAGGTTTCATATATGCATGATAAAAACTTGGTTTGTAGGGTTCTCTGGTGCCAGAAAGTTCTTTGTATTGGCATGGAATCTAATTTCAAGCAGATCTAAATATTAAAGGCACGTAACTACTACTTCAGTACTTAATAAAACTTCTTTGGAAGCATACACTGAAAGGACTGGAATTGCTTTGTTATCATTGGAGCTCAGTAGTAAAAATTTAGAAATAAAGCTTGCAGTGCACATGGGATATTTTGAGGTACAAAAATCAGTGTAGATTAAGGGTTATGTCAGACAGTGTAAAACAGTTAATGAACTACTGACAGTATAGATATCTGGGATTGGTTTTTATCTTTCCTGAGGTGTATTAAGTGAACTGAAGTAGTTTGTTTTCCTTCACCTTTGCTCTTAATGATTGGTTTCCAAAAATGGAATTATAAGCCTAAATAATTTAGGAATAAAAATCCCATTATTTTCTGGTAATATTCTTGCTCCTAGACACCTGGTACTTTTAGGAATGCAAAGCATTATATTTTTCCCTTCTCCCTAGTACCCTGTGCTATCTTATTTCCTCAGTGAGGATATATTGCCATTTTAAATTTTCATTTGTTTTTTTAAAGTGAAATTTGATGGGGGTACAGTTTCAGAGAGGATAAAATCGGAGTTACATCCCATGTGATGCTCCTTGTAGGTATTTTTCTGGGATACCATGATCTTGCTATCACTGGTGCTAATCACTGCAATCTTTTCAAACAAACATGAGAGCTGGTAGACAAGTACTTACAGGTTCACAGAGATCCGAGTTGAAGGCGGGACAGCTTTTCTTTGATATGACTGTAATGAACTGACCATTGTATTTTTCACATGTGTAAGTTGTACAGTTATTACCAGGTGGGCTCCAGAATTTTCCAACCTGAAAGTAGTTAAATTAAATAAAGGTGAATAAAAGGCGTCTTGCCTGAAAGTGAGAACACACAACTGGTGTTCATCATTGCTGTGCACTGCAGCATGCTTATTCTGAATAATGTCCTTGAATGGCAGCTGGTAGTTGCTCACTGACCTTTTTCATTAACCAAGTGAAGAGGATGTGATTTTAGGTGGCTATGGTCATGGTTTTTGTGTGCATAGCTTAAGTGAAGGCTGACTTGTGTTTCAGTGGTTTTGCTGTCAGAATTTATGATGTGCCCTAGTCCTGTTCAGGTACATGGCAGAATTCCAGGTGTTTTCACCAACTCATTCTGTTCTTGAGCTCCCAGCTAACTTGAGATTGGATATTCGGAGCCGAAGCTGCCTCCATACATAGAAAGACAAAACTGAGCAAAATTGGTGCTATGTTTTCTTGCTGAAGGCAAATAAGATGGCATTGCTTTCACATATTTTTCTATTTAGACCTCTGAAAGCCATTGTTCAATATCACAGTTGGTTCCAGAAGCTTCAGTTAGCCTCATGGCTCAAGGTTCTGTTCAAGCTAGGTGAGTCAGTCCTTCCTCATCTGAATAAGCAGTATTGTAATATGTGAAAAGACACTGTAAGAAAATGTGATAGAGGCAAGGAAAGGAACGAGTTAAAAGGCAAACAGAGTTCACCAAAGGTGAGCTGCAGCAGGGCTAGTTACCTTAAGCACATGTGTAGTGTTGTCTTCCATGACCACTATGCAGGCTTCAGCCTTGCATGTGCCACAGCACTTTCCAGGTTCCTCTGTATACTTGTAACCCTATTTTGAAAGAAACAGAGAGGGAATATTGTTGAGCCAAGACACTGAGATTAAGTGGCAGATGTTTGAACTGAGCAAGGTAGGCATTACTGACCATAAATTAGCACTCACCACTGGACAGTAGGTGTCACAGGTAACAGGCTGGCACTTGACAGCAAACTTCTGATGGCTTGAATAAGAGGATATGGAGCAGCTGCAGCTTTCACAGGGGCCTGATGGAATCACAGTTCCAGGCTAGGGAAAGACAGAAGAAAAATCGGTATTAGTAATAGCAAGTTGCTGTGAGTATGTACCTAACAGACAATTCAAGGCTGAACTATCTATCAGCTAAACTATCCTTAAATTCAATTTTGGTTGTTTAAGCAGAGTTTCTATTGTTAGTTATGTCCATGCTGCTTCTCATTTTGAAAGGAAATTATGCTAATGTTACAGGTGAGCAGATAATACTTTTGCATATAAGGAAAGGTGCTGATATGCTGACCTCAATTAGTATCTTGGTCCTTTTCGCAAAATGGCATCTATAATAGGAGTCTCAAAAACGTTTCATTGTGAATCTATGTGAAGTTGTATTTTTATAGTGAGTTACTCTATGTACTTACCGCATAGTAGGTTTCATTGACTACACAGCCATGTCCTGGAAAGAAGGAAGAAAGATAGTGTCACCAAGGTATAAAATTTAAGAAGCTGAAGTATGTGAAGAAACTCCTACTTTTTTGGCCCAATGTGACAATGTTGATTAATTACATCTTTTTCTTTTAAGGATTTTGTATTCATAGCTCTGACTAACACGTTGAAAAAGTTTCATGGCACTTACTGCATTCAAAGGTAGGGCAGCATTTTCCAGGCTGTGTTACTGTAATTACTTCCTGTCCCTCTAAGCATTGTTGTGTGACCTCAGGGCAGAGGCTCGTATTGCAGTCTGTGTAATGTAAAAGAAGACAGCAAATTATGAATTTTTAAATTTTGTTTGGCATGAACTTCAGAAGTTTTCCAGTGAGGCAAATACAGTGTTTTAAGTAAAAACAAGTTGGTTTAATAACTATTTCAGTATATTTGCCCGTCTAATTTTAAAGTGAAAGAGCTTTTCTAACCTTTGCAAAGCAAAGCATTGGCTGAGAAGAATAGAGTGATGATTGCTTGAAAAGACATACTTCCAAAGATAAAATAATCAGAAAATCTGATGGCTCTCTGAGTTTCAGACAGTCTCTTGAACAATTCTTAAAAGTTCAAGAGATGTATTAAGATTAGATAAAATATTTGTGCTGGTCTTTGAAAAATAAGAGATATTGAATAGCTTTTGATTGTTGTTTCAGGTGGTGGCAGTGCTACAGGTTTTCTTTTTTTTCCTTTCAAACATTAAATTACAAATTTACAGCTACTTTCCTTTGTCTATGAGTGTAAAATTGATTCATCTTTAAATTTGTTCTTTTCAAGAATCTAGTAGATGCTTTGCAGCAAGGCTTTAAAAAGCTGTATGAGGGAGAAAAGTTATAAGATCAATGTAAACTATATATTAAAAAAAAAAACACAAACAAGAGAAATTACTGCTGTAGATCCCCAAAATAAGTATAGTATATTACTCACAATAAAGAACTGAGACAGTACTTACAGCACTCAGTCCTGGTACAGCATGGATCTTCTGGTATCTGTGTCTGAACAGGCATGTATCCTGGTTCAGAACAAGATACTTGCTGTGACAGAGGACATTCGTATTTTGTACAATGCACTCTGAGAGTAGATCTGTCACAGACACATTCCTGGCAATTTTTTGTCCATTTTTCTCCTGGCTATACAAAAAGAAAATGAAAAATAAATAAAATAAACAATTTTTTTAACTTCTAAATGTTTTATTCATAAATACAGTTATTGCTAACTAGCTAATTACATCAACCTTTTCGTGGTCCTAGTACTTTTAGATTTGTTAAGAAACCCTTAAAGTGAAACAAATTAGGAGAAGATGCTAGAGACCACTGACAGTTCTGAGGATGTTGGTTTGCTCTTGTGAAACACCAAACAACAAATGTCCTCTTGCTTCAGCTGCTTGTATTTGATAAATTACATTGATGTAATTTTGATAGCGATACTCACCCATCTGAATACTCCATTTGGCTCTCTACAAGCTGAAAAAAAAATAAATAAATAATGGGGATTTATACCACTGACTACTGACAGAAGGAGTAAGTTTGTGCAGTTTGAAATAAAAACACCATGAACATAAATCTAGCCAGAAAATGAACATACAGACTAGTTCATATGAAATGATAGATTTCTTCCATTTTGCCTAGTCTCATGTAAGTAAGGAAGATGGGGAAAAACTACTGTTTTTTATTATTATGTTTTTAGAGACTAAAGGAGCCTAAAAAAGTTGATCTGCCCATGATCTGACTATGTAAAAGATGACAAGTCTCCTGCCATTGTTAATCGGGTCTCCTCTTTAACAATCCAGATCTCCATTCCCCAAACTAGTTATAGAGTACTTACAGCATTCAGAGACACAAATGTTGCTGTCTTCACTCAAGAGTGTCTTTCCTTCAGGACAGAAACAACCTTCAGTTACTCCATAGCCAGGACGGTCAACAAAGCTGGAGTGAGAGGAATATATATATATGTATGTGTTTTTGAGTGCCATGTTTTTGCAGTGAAGCTGGAGAGGGGTGTGTAAAGAAGGTTGTTGTGTCAGATACAAGGGAGACGAATGAATTTGCATTTTGCTGAATGGAACTGGAAGTACATATTTATAGCAATGACTGATATCTATGAATTTTGAATAAACAATGAAAATTCATGAGATTTAATTATGAAATAGTTATATTTTGTAAGGAAAGTAGTTAAAAACAGAAGGAAAAAAAAAGATAAACATTTGTTTGGTCTTTCCATACCTTTGGCTGCAGGTAGCAGAATTAATGGACTCACATGGCTTGTATACCATGTTTGCTGGACAGTTGTATGCTGTATGACAAAAGATGAAAAATGATCAAAAACTGATAGAAGATATTGTGATATATCTACTAGATATAAAGAAAAGTGACTTTATCTTTACTGTCTACATCGGGGGTTTCTGACAGTAAGGACATTTCTGTATTTTTGTAGGTAAAATGCTATAGTCAAATGTAAGATGCAACATATACTTACTCAATAAAATCCTAACTACTACTGGTTTACTCGTACATTTTTGAGTTCTGCAATACTTACGGCACGTATTGTTTGTCTTTCCTCTCCAGTCAATGCAGACACCTCTAGCAGCACACTCTGTAGCATATATCTCCAAACTGGAACACTGCATGGATTCATCAGTTATGCGACATCCATCAAAAACACATCCTTTGTAAAATGGTTCTGGAGGTATCACGTCATGGCATTCTGCAAAAACTCTACAGACAGAAAAGAAACCAGAGGAAACTGGTTATTATATAAAATCTGATCACACGTGGCATTTTCCCAGTTAATGGCATGTTACTCTCTGCTTCAAAAGGAATGTATTATGAGAAAGAGAGTTAACCATATGAATGGCCACTACTGTGGGAGATAGATTCAGGAATGGAAAGACTAGGAAATTGAAGCTCTATTCTTTTCTAAAGAGGCTTGTGGGTATAATATTTATGTAAGTGTACACAGTGTTTTATCAGTCTGACACTAGAAATTTCTTGAAGAAGGCAATTGCGTCAGATAGATGGAAAAAGAATGCTGTAAGTACTCAAGGAACAGAAAAATCGGATAGAATAGCTTGCAACTTATTAGACATTACAGCAAGCATGCAGATGAGGGTCTGTATGAATGACACAGCTGAAAAAAAACTTTTGCTAGAGTTCACACAAGTATAAAAAACAGCCTTTGTTGATGCTGTTTTTTTTTTTGTTTTTTTTTTTTTTAAATTCGATGTTTTGCATAAAATGTGCTAAGAGTGAAGACACTTTGGCTAAGACATTTCTGTCTGTTCTGTTTTTCTGGTTGGTAACCAAATTCTTTCCCTTCAGGACTAAGGGACCACTTCACATGTAAATTTTCATCTTTCTTTTAATAGCGTGACTAAGAATGAGTAAGCATACCCTAGAAAGCAGAGAAGGAAAAAGATAACAGAAATGTACGTGGTAACAACCCAGGGTGTATGGACTTTAGTGCTTGCTGTCTCCTTCATTTTCTAATTCTTGCTCAGCTATCTTTGCGATACAAGTCCTTAAAGAAAAGCAGTTTCTTTATCAAAGGACTTTTATTGTATATATCCTTATATTAGGTTGATGTTTTCAGCAATGATCCCATGATAGGACTGTAGTTCATACCATTTCATAAAATACTGAAACATTTCTGTATAGAAAGAGCAAGTCAATTTTGGTTGTTTCTTTTTTTTCTTACTTGCTTATGATAAGCTTGCAGAGTTCAGGAACATGACACTGTGGCCTTGCAGGAGGTGTGGTTACTATTGATGGTGGTGGTACTCCAGTGCATGATGTGTCATTACCAACAAGCCAGTGATGAGCCATTTGGGGACAGGAAGAAATGATCTTACCACTTGGCAAGCGACATTCATCTCTTTTGTTATTTGTACATGTTCCTGGAAGATAACAGAGACAAGGTATGTTAGCTTCATATGCCACATCGGTGATGCACAGTACATTAGTGTGCTGATACTACGTTTACATGTGATGTGCTCATGAAATTCTCTACTTCACAAGGATTCTTTACAGTCGTATGAGTTTTAATTTAGTTTAGGAAAAAAGCAGTCAAAATCCAAAACCCAAATCTGACATCAGAAAACACTTCAAAATGTATATGCCTATCATGATCTTGCATAGCCAAAGTGGGTAACTATAGCTATGGAGGATGGGCAAAATATGATTAGTACATCTGTCTTACCACACTGTCCTTCAGTGTTGTTGCCAAATTTGCTGTATGGGAGTTTCACAGAAAAGATCAGCCCACTGAAGGTGATGGTTGCACCAATTTCTGGTATTTCTACAATCATATTGATTCCAAGTGTGGAGAAATAAATGCCATCTTTGTGAAAGCCTGGTTGGACAATCTTATTGTTGAAGTACATCTGAATGCAGAGTTTAAAAAACAAAAAACAAACAAACAAAAAAAAACAAAACACAACTTCAGAATAAACTTCTGCTTCTGTCTGATTCTTTTAATGTATTAAATGATAATGTATTTTCTAATCTTCATAATCATACGTAACTTGGTATTGTTGTGCATCATATCCAACTCCTGTTTGTTTTGTTGTAACTACATACAATTCTCACCTTTATAATCTGATATTCTAACAAACTGTATTTCAAGTGAGAAACTGTAAGGCCTGTGGACCTTATTTCTCTTTTTCAGTAACAGAGAAGTAAAAATAAATTTATTTTACCACATTTGTCATCACACCGTTCAGGAGTTCACGGGTCAGCTTCACTGTTGCAGATTTGTAGAAAATAATAATGGATTTAGGACAGGAAAGTCCATCTTTTGAATCACAGTAGTAATTCTCAATGTGAACACGGAAGTTGTCGTATTTAGGCACAATCTGTTTCACCAGAACATAAGTGCAATTTTCAAGGAAAGTATAGTAGGTTCCATCAAAAGTAATATAATGAGGATCACCCCATCCACTGCAGACACCTGGCATAGAGAAAATATTTGTGTTAACATGAAAGTAAATATAGAAGAACATACTACAATTTCAAATGCAACCTTGGGAAAACATAATTCCCTTATATTCTGTGCAAACTTTTGCTTATTTTTGAAAATTTTAGTCCTTAATCTACACTTACATTGACACTCATAGTGGTAACAGCATCCATTTTCATCAGGTACCAATACTGCTGGGTATTTGTTTGCACAGGTAATTTCCTTTATAGGTGGACATACTGTTTGGTTTACTATAACTTTGTTGTTTCCCTCACAGATGAGTTCTGTACAGTTGGATAATTTGAATCTCTGGCCAGGCTGCAAAATGAACAAAAATTGCTGTCACAGAAATTTGCAAACAGGTATGAATTTTACTAATATTGTTATGAGATGTAACCTTCTATACTAGCTTTGATTTTTCTGCTCAGTGAAGAATCAAAAAGCAATAGAAAACGTGCTTTTTTATTTCATTGAGAAGGTTTGTTATGTATACGATGCTGTGCATTAAAAAGCATGTTTAACTAGCTGCAAAATGATAACAAAAAATTATTGTACTTTTCTTTCTTAGTTTACAAAAAAAAAAAAAAAAAGGGAAAAAGATGCATAGAAATTTTATGCCATATATTGACTGGTAATAAGAGTTATTCTGACAACCAAAATATATAAGATTGGCAACTGTTTCTTTCTTACACCTTTCTGGTATAAAACTAACACTGATGTTATTTAAAAAATCATAACGCGGAATCAATGTACCTGTAGGGGAGGGTGAGTACCAGAAACACAACCTGGAGGAAGAATTGGATGTGTTGTTATTATGGTAGGCGTCTGAGGAGATGTAGTGGTTAATGGAGTAGTAAAATTACAGTCTCCAGTGTAGCGTTCAACTGTACATTTTTCACTACACCTAGCATAAAATCTACATCCATCACTATCCATTGTGCTGTAAATCAGTTCACCTGAAAAAGGGGAAAAAATACAGTCAAATAAAAAGAAAAAATGAAAATTCTTCAAAATTGATCAACGCATTACATTTTGAAGTGTCCTGGTTTAAACTGGTGTGGTAGAGAAATTTTTACAAATAAACTGCGATGTTTCAGTCTTTCAGATTTAGGATGAAAATACTGTTGCTGCTGAGCAGTACTTATACTAAGTTAATAATTCCTCAGCATTCTCCACTGCCCTGCCAATGAGAAGACTAGGGTTGCAGAAGAAATTATGAAATGATAAAACCAGACAGGCTGGTCCCAACTGAGCAAAGGGGTGTTTAATGCTGTATGACACCATACAGAACCATGAAAATAGGAAGAAATGGGGAAAAGTGCAACTGTTGCCAAGGGTCAGGATATAGGACCTTATCAGGTGGTGATGAAAAATTTGATGGGGTACCAGTTGTTAAGTTTATGATATTTGTCACAGAATATCTATTCAGTACCTAATCATTATTAACAAACACTGCTCGAAACAAAAGATCAGGTGTTTATATCTGGGATTTCCACAATAGCTCTGAAGTGGAGAAAGATACTGAAAGATTGTGTAATCGTCATGAGTATGTCACATTAATAGAAAACAGAAAGAAACAAACGCTGAAATTATAACAACAAAAATCAGAATGAATACAAACAACAATAATTTAAACACTACAAATGAGAAGACATATTGAAACTGAAAAAATTACTAGAACTCACCAGGTGAATAAATGTTGTTTCCAATTTTACAGAAACATGATGTTGATATAGAAGTACTGGTGCTGAAACTGGTGGAAAATGTGGAAGATGTGACGGTGATGAAGGACGTGGGGGAGGAGGTGCCTGTGGAGATGGAGGTGGTGGGACTGGTGGTAGG